GTTCTGCCTGGCCTTCTGGCCCGAGGCGGTAGCGCTGCGCCCTGGGGGGCCCTCTTTTTTCCATGGACTTCTGGCTTCCCCTAGCCTGCCCACCCTGCTGTCGGGTCCCCTCTCCATGTAGGGTGCAACGCAGCCGGCAGCCTCAGGACCCCTCCCTCCCTCCTACCCGCCCCACAGCACAAAGCCACAAAGCCTTTTGGAAAGGAACTCAGCCACCTGTGACCCTCCTCCGGCACCCTACTGGGTTCAACGCCCAGAAGAGCGTCCCACCGGCAGACCCGTTTGGGGGAAACGCTGCGCGCTGCCGTAACTCCGTAGAGGGTCCCGGTAGATCGACTTGTCAGACTTCTAAATCCACTGTTTCCCAAACTTATTCGACTCAGAACTTTTTGGATTCCAAATCAATTAATTAATGAGGATGGACAGCGAATGTCCACAGAACCCCCTCTCCGTACTATGTCCTGTAGAAACTTTGGGAACCGCTGATCTAAGTAAGGAGTCAGGAAAGAGAGGAGCGAAGCTGGGATTTTTCCAAAGCCCCCTCCCCTCCCCTCAGTTTTTAGATCCTGCAGGAAAGGAAAAAGAAGCCCATGATCATGAGTTGGGGAGAACAGGGAATGTTCCAGAGCTGCCCAGGACGAGGAGATGTTGAGAGGGAAGCGTGAGCCCCCCTCAGTGTGGTGGCTGTCGGGGGTACACCGCGACTCGGACAGAGGCTGGAGCCCTGCTGGCAGGTGGCGAGCGAAAGGAAGAGGCCGGTGGTGGAGGGAAGGGCAGCTCTGCTCGGATGGTCGTTGCATGTGAGGGAAGCACGTCCCTCAGGGGCCACCTCTAAAGTCCCAGCTTCCATTTGTTTTCTCAGTAGAACTTTCCAATTAGACTAAAGACCCTCCCTGCTCATTTCACCTGAGTTACAGAGCCTCAGTGCACCTTTTGACCAGGTTCCCTGATAGTTTTCTTGGCCTTAATAAAATTCTGCCACACCTTAACATTTCCTGCGGACACAGAGAACGCCCTAGAACAGCATACAGTTTGGAGAAAACAGGCCCTCAATAAATGCCTCCTGTCTATAAGGAAGTAGGGGTGGGTAAAGATGGAGCCACTGGCTAGGTAAACACGGAACACCGGGGACAGCCTGGTGGACAGGAAATGCTGGTTCAGCAACAGGGACCTAGCCAGCAAGGTAAATTAACACTTGTGAAGGCTCTTAAGAATGCATTTCTCTCTCATTCCCGTGCCCCCCGGTCAGTCAGGGAGCAAATGGCATTCCATGGACAAAGGAGCCTCAGAGCCCAATTAGGCTGAAGCAGAAAAACTCCTAAGGGTTCTGAGTGGGAGAAAGCTATCAGCAGGTGAGTGCCAACCAGCCTGTGCTTGCACCCTGCGGGCTTATCTCACTGGGTCCTCCCCGCAGCCCGGAGGGAAGGCCTCTTTATGATCCATTTTTATAGATGGGGCCACTGTGGCTCCAAGAGGTTACCTGAAGAGCCCAACCCACACAGAAAAATGTCAGCGCCAGGATCTGAGTTCAGACACCAGAGAGGGCTTCCTGGGGAGTGGAGGGGAAAGAAACCAAAAAGGGGTACAGGCAGAGGAAGCCCCCACTACCAAACACCCAGATTCCTTTCTATCTCCCACCTGCTCCTGGTTCTCAACTGAAGCTATCTGGAAGGGAGGAACCTAAAGAAGTGACTTTCCTCAGCAGTCTCACAGAGGCGAGGAGGTACCTTTTTCCTACCGTCAGATCCAGCACCTCAGGGGCTGGACACAGACTGAAGAAAAAGTCCTCATTCCAGGTGTAAGTCACCTTGGTGACATCTTCTCTGGTTCTACGCTGACTTGGGATGTCAGAGCAGGGAGAGCCCTTGGACAGCAGCTTGTTCACACACAGAAAAGGAAACGGAGGCCCAGGGAAAGTTCCCTTCCCTCCAGCACCTGCCTCCGGTACACCTCACCAGGGTCGCACTGAGAGGTAAGGGCAGAGTCAGTGCAAATACCTGGATGTCCCGGCCCTTAGCCCGGGTTGCTTTCCGTAAGTGCTGACTGTGTGCTATGCTTTATATCAATGATCACACTTAATCCTCACAACGACCCTACCAGACGGATTTTGCTACTAACCCCACTTTACAATTGAAGAAATGGAGGCACAATGAGGTTAAATAACCTCCAAATGGACACACCAGAAATGACAGGCAGAGCTTGTTCAAACTCAACATCTGACCCCAGGGTCCACTCACAGCCACCAGGCCATACAGCCAGGGTATGGGCCACACAGCAGGGGTGTGCACTATATAGCTGGGAAAAAGTTTTAGAGATTTGTGACAATTTGAAAAAACTTGCAGATGACCTGTGTAACTTAGTACTATTGAAAAAATTAAGAAAAAGTTAGATGTGTCAAGAATGCATAAACTATATGTAGATACAGTTTATTTTATCATTTACTACCAAAAATATACACAAATCTATATACTCCATGTAGCAGAAATACGTATCATACAGCTAAGGTATGTACCACACAGCCAGGGTTTGCACCATTCAACAGGGGTTCTTTTTTTTTTT